TGTAATTACTGTTAATCCATTCCGGCGCCCGCGGACCACGCAGCAGGGGCGGAAAAACAGCCGCTGACCACGTGGCAGAGCGGAAAAATGGCCGTGGACCACGTGTCAGGGGCGGAAAAATGGCCGCGGACCACGTGGAACGGGCGGAAAAATGGCCGCGGACCACGTGGCACGGGTGGAAAAATGGCCACGGACCACGTGGAACAGGCAGAAAATGGCCGCGGATCCGGTTCGTAAGTTGAGGCGAGTTCACAAGTAGAGGCAAATTTTTGGGGCTGGAGCTGATCGTATCTTGAAAAATTCCTAAGTAGGGGCGTTCGTAAGTAGAGGTACCACTGTATTTGTATGCGTAAAAAATAGTGGAGATGTTGACAGATTACATTTCAATTTGAAATATTTTTTAGGAAGGTGGAGTGTTTACTTTTGGAGCTGGAGGCTACGGACAATTAGGTCATAACTCTACTGCACATGAGATAAACCCAAGAAAAGTTTTTGAACTTATGGGGAACATTGTCACACAAATTGCATGTGGAAGGTAAGGTTGATCTTAGAATGGAACTGCAAAATTAAATCATTTCACTGTTCAGTAACTTGGAAAGTATCAAACCTAAATTGATTTTACACCTATTTATCATAACAGTTTTCAGTTTTAGAAGAACAGGACTTGCTGCCTCAAATAGTCTGGGATCCATTTATATATGAAAGCTGCTGGGTTTATGGAATTCTGCCAGGTTAGTTAATGGATAGGCAACAGAGTGTGTATGTGGTTGGGTTTTTTGAACCTGGATGCATAATGTGGATCTACATGTAGGAAACTGTTACTAGAATTAACAGAAGGACGGAGCAAGCCCCCTCCAGAAACAGATTATTTCAAAGCTTATAGTTCCACTTGGCTCTCTGGATCTAGGCTCAAATCTTATAGTTAAAAAACATCCACTGTGATGTGCTTAAGCATAGCTATTAAATAGACATACGTACATATATGTATGTATATAGGATATATATTTCAAGCTTCATAAGATGTCTAATTTTTTCAAAGTGAGCTCTGGCCCAGCTTTAGATACGAATTACTGCAGGAGAAGTGAGAAGTTTTTTTGGCTTGGCATCCTGTTCCAAGTTAAATGCCATAAAGAAAGAAAGAAACAGATTACTAACTTTTCCTAGTTTGTTTAATAAAGCATTTATTTGATACTCATTTGCAAACTGGTTATGTTTGTTTTAAATATTTTTTTAATTAGAGTGTGTAATTATTTCTTCAGTATGTTTACTGTGATTCTGATCGTAATTAATAATTCAGAATAAGGTCATTTGGCAACTGCATCCATTTTCCACCAACAGCCGTGAAGTGAATGTAGCTAGAGAGATTAAACTATATTAGGCAAGAATGCTCTCCCCAGGACATTCTACTCTGCAGTGCTGTGTCCTCATCTCCTGTGCCTTTATAAGGTGGCATCCATCAAGCACTGGAAGGTTACAAAATAAAGATGCAGGTTTGGTAGAACTACCAAAATGGCTTAGCAGGAAATACAGTATAACATATCCAAATTATAGCCCAGAAGGGTATTTTTAAGAGGGATGGTTACAATTCTTGCTTGAAGTAAATTAAATGATGTCACGTGAAACTGGCTTCTAGAGGATGAGGATATGCTTTTTGAAGCATTCTTCTAATAGACATAATAAATGAATAACCATTTACTCTTGTTGTGAAACCTTGTTGTGGGTTCCAGCAACGTGCTGTTATAGAGAAAAGGCTGCTACAATTTAGACAACACAATAATTCATAGGGCCCAAGGGATGACTTAATTGCATTGGCACAATGTAGTTCCATAGGCATAATAACCTTCTGTCTCACTGGATTGCAAGCTTTGTGCTTTTTTGAAGCCATATAATTCCTTGTTGATGTTCTTATGGGATATTGTAGCTATCTTGAGTTAATTTCACAGATGGTTTTCTCTCATTCTATAAATGTAAAAAAGGTAGAGGAGAGAGATGACATCCAATCATTTGTAAAACTTCTGCTTTCTGAGACAGCAGATTCTAAGGATTAAATGATAGAAGTGATATCCTCAGCCATGTACCTTCTCTTTCAAGACAAGTGCTTCTGTTCCATTGCCTTGTTTGTTCTTTGCACTAAATCATGAGAAGGTCTGTTTGTTTTATGTTTGATGTGATATGAAAATCTCTACCTTGTGGTTTCCAAACCATGCTTTTTTCTTGAGGTCCACTAAAGCACAAACAAGCAACATTATGGCTTAGCTAGACTCAAACCTACCTGGAGCTGGGGACTCTTGGGTGAGCTAAACTTGCAATAAATGAATAAGTTATCTTTTGAATAGCTTTTTAGAGAATAGTCTGGGATTTCCCTGTTTCTTGCTTCTTGGATATTTCTTTCCTCTTTGCTCTAGGCAGCACACATCTGCATTTGTTCCCTCAACTGGAAGAATTTACTCTTTTGGTCTTGGAGGTAATGGACAGTTAGGCATGGGAACAACCAGTAACAGGAAAAGTCCCTTTCCAGTTAAAGGAAATTGGCTTCCATACAGTGGCCAGGTCCCACTAAATTCAGGTGATTACACCTATGCTTTATTTGTTTGGATTGTTATTGGGGTGAAGTGCTATTCAAGATATTGGCTGGGTTCACACATTATTCTACTGTATCATGTGATTTATTTGTTGGCTTAGTCTGTTGCATTTACATTTAAACCATTGTTTATGCTTTGCATGTTGTGCAAACCCAGCCAGTTCTAGTTTAGTGAACAAATTTTGACTAAACCATATACCATATACTAAACCCTATACTAAACATATAGTTGGTGGAATATTCAAATCATGTCATTGTGATAAATAATTATTTAGTTCTTGATAATCTATGTCTCATGAGAAGATCTTTATTAAGCATACAGTAGTAACAATACATTACAACATGATTTTTAATTTCTATATAAGGAAAATCTGGTCCTTAGGAAATTGTCAGCCCCCAATTTGTTCTGTAAGAGTATAAAAAAATAATTGTAAATATAATACAAAACAGAAACCATTCTTGTTGTGAAACTCTGGAATAAGATATGTTAACTGAAATATCTGTTGAGTTAGCTGACATGTCAGAGTTACAGTAGTTACATTTCTTAATTTCATTTATACTTAAATTAAGGAGCTGTTCCATTCAAGATATTCTTATTTTAATTATAGATGGTGAAGATTATTATTGTGTAAAGAGGATTTTTTCTGGTGGAGACCAAAGCTTTTCACATTATGTTACTCCACGGGTATGTTATTTATTTGTTTTGATTGATAAGCTTGATAGCAGAAACTTTGGCTTAATATTAGTGGGTTTTTCCCCCATTTCAGGAGCATAATTGGTGTATCTGTTGTATATTAGCTTGCTTAAAATATTTTTTTTCTAAAGAGATTTCCTAAAACTTAAATTGTTGGATAATTGTATAATTTGTTGCTGAATATCTGTGTAATTATTTAATTTGATTGATTGATTATGTGCTATCGAGTTGTTTTTGACTCCTGGTGACCGCATTAATAGATTTTCGCCATGATGATCTGTCCCATCCTGGTCCTTCAGGTCGTCCAACAGTGTAATTGCCACTGTAACTGAGTCCATCCACCTTCGTTGCTGGTCATCCTCTTCTTCTGTTTCCTTCTACCTTCCCCAGCATTAGAGCCTTCTCTAGGGAGCTAGGTCTTTTCATAATGAGTCTGGTGTAGAATAATTTGAACCTGAATTATTGTATTATTGTGTAATTATTACATAATTTGTTGCTGAGTATCTGTGCTATTGTTTAGAGCAGTGTTGTCCAAACTTGGCCACTTTAAGATGAGTGGACTTCAACTCCCAGAATTCCCCAGCCAGCACTGGTTTAGAGCAAAAGCAGACAAACTTTGAAATGCTGGGTGTCTAACACCTCTCTGACATTTCTAGAACATTAGAATGTTAAATGTTTGTTTATTCAGAATTTTCAAACGTGAAGGGCTTCTAGTTACAATCAAATCAGTCTCTCTTCATTTTCAATCTGAAAAGCAGAAATATTTATAGCTTTGCAGTTTGAGACAATGCTTAGGTTAGGAAAAAGCTGTAAAACTAAAATTATGATTCCCTACAGTTAAAATACTTTCTCAACCAAGTGCAGATCAGTACTAACGAGTGTTGTATAGGGTATTTCCTGATTTCACAGGAATGTGATTTATTTTTATCTCATAATTGCCTTTCATTCCAGAGTATAATCAGTTTTTCTCCTATGAAATACTCTAATCCCTAAAATACCCTAAAAGGTTTTAGATGAACTTCCTAGCCCTTTAAAACCTGATGGATTAATCTGGTGCTAAATGTTTCATGTTAGAACGTGAGAGCCTGCCTGAATTGAACAGAAGCAGATACTGGCCTACATCTTACTTTAAAACAATTTAAAATAATAAATCAGAAGATCTTACCTATGTTTTGTCAATTATATGAACACATAAGAAGTGGACAAGAGATAGAGTGGCTTGGAAATAAAAACAGGACAAGCTATAAAAACTGGAAGGGATTGTATATGGTTTTATTGTTACTTATTAAATTGTTTCTATGACATTAATCATTGATTTTGTTATTCAATGTTGCGTGGTAAAACACTGCTGGCTGACTTGAATACAGGTATAAATAAGAATAAATAAATAATTACAGCTCTGAGTAAGGGGTTTGCAGTTTACGAAACAATCACTTGTAATATATAATTTACCACTTAAATGCAGGATTTGGTGCCAGCAGATGACTTCAGATATCCTAATGCTTCAAAACAAATCTGGACTGTGAACGAAGCTTTCATTCAGAGATTAGTAAATTATTCGTCTTCAGGTGCAGGGAGACTCCCTGTGGAGATAGCCAAGTAAGAATTATTCCTACTTTTTGACAGATCCTATGAACAATAAAGCTGGGTGCTTTATCTGGTCAAACATAATCGGTTCTTGGAATAAATTAGTCTTACATCATCATCCAGAGCCATAAAATAAAGACTCTGGAATTGAACTGAACTCCTGGTGACCACATGGGCATATCTTATATGTTTTTCTTGGCACCAATATGAAAGTGGCTTGCCATAAAAGAACTTTTTAAACCTCCCAGACTAGCCATAGATTTTCCTGGTGGCCTCCTATCCAAGGACTAACCAGATCCAACTCTGCTTAACTATTTCCACAATTAGTCAAGTGAGCTAAATGCTGCCTTCTGAACGGCACGGCTGTGTGCTGCCTAGTTTTTGGGGGGTGTTTGGTTTCAAAATAATCACACTGATATTGAAATCTAATCTCGATTTCCCAGCATTGTGGGATCTGTTGTTCAGGTCCATTGGTATTTTGAACCTTGATGCAGGGAGAGTAAAAGATTGCCTTCTCACAAATTCAGTTTAAGCAAAATTCCTCCAATTGCTAAAGGGTCTTTGTGTGTGTGCCCATTCTATCCTTTTAAAAGTATTTTAATTTTGAACAGAATTAAAAGGGAAGCTGGCATGCTACAAAACAAAACAGCATTGTTTGTTTCTGGGAATTCCACACAGGCCCCACAGTTGCTCTCAGAGAATGAAAAAGGGTTTCCGGCCCAAGAACAGTGTTTTTCAACCTTAGCAACTCTAAGTGGTGTGGCCAACTCAATGCTGGCTGGGGAATTCTGGGAGTTGAAGGCCACACATCTTAGAGTTGCCAAGGTTGAGAAACGCTGCCCTAGAACCACCTGCAGAGAAAATAGACTAAAGGGAATTGGGGATTTATGAAGAGCATTCTGGAAGGCTAAAGAAAGGGAGCAATTTTACCATTGGCCTTCTGAGAAATGGGTGTTTTATGACTAGTTATATTCTCAGCTGCAGTCCTCCTGTGAATGGGCAGTGCCCCCTATGTGACAACCATTTTCCTTGAATGCCCATGACATTCTGTCAAAATACAAAATGTGTCCACTAGCCGAACAAAGAATATTTACTCAGATCAACAGGAGAGGCTTTTTTGAAGATGCTCAAGTATTGGGAGGGTGGGAAAAGCACTCCTTGAGGCAGTTTATTTGACTCTCATTATTCTAGGAGATGCAAAAATGTTATTGCTGCTTTCAGTGTTGGTTTTTATTTTTTAGATTTTTTTTTATCCCGCCTTTATTATTTTTATAAATAATTCAAGGCAGCACACGAACATACCTAATACTCCTTCCTCCTCCTATTTTC